TGCTTGTGTCTGGAGATGTGCACTCTCAGCTTCCTGTTCCTCAGCATGCTCTCTTGTGTGCTGCCCAGGCTTGCCTGCAATGCCGAGCTCTTATCATCCTGGAACTGTAAGCCAAATAAACTCTTTCTTCTATAAGTTGCATCCGGTCAGAGTGTTCTATCACAGCAACAGCAAAATAACCAAGGGAAGTGACTATTAAGAAAGATTCTTGTCTCATTCAGGATACCTCAGAAGCTTACTTAGCCTGAGTCAAGACTTCCACTGTGGCCACTTCATTCTGAAGGTAGTGAGGCTGTTTCTAGGGAATTATCTGTACTCTGTGTGTGTGTGGTTAAGTCAGAAGCCCACAGAGGAAAACCAGAGGTGGTGGGAAACGCACTCTCAGGCGCATCCCACAGCACGAGGGAGGGCAAAGAGCCGGGTGTTCTCAGCAGTTCTTGTCTCACGCTCTGTTCATGTGTGGATACAAAGCCGTATAGCTTTGGAGGAGAGCCTTTGGCCAGCAAGATCCCGCAGAACAGCTATGCGTATGGTGTTCACTGTAAAGGGGAGTCCCTGGGAAAACTCGGGATGCTGAAGGAGTCTGTGCTGTCACCAACCTGATAGAAATACCCTGTTTCCCCAGCGTTCCTGGTCTGTCCTCAGCTCAGCTTCTGAGTTAACTTGTTGGTGCTCTCAGCCTTAGAGGCTCAATACTCTTGACCTCTATGAATAAGTGCTCTTTGCCTCTCAGGAGGAAGAGTCCCTGAAATTCAATCAGCCAGCATATATTGAACATCAGCTGTGTTTGTAAGACACTGTGGGAGGACCTGGGGACATAATGGCAATGGAAACAGACAGGATCCTTGATCTTATAGGATTAGAGAAGCACAGAAACTACTAGCACCTATCCATGATTTCTCTGGTGCTACGTTAAGCCCTTCCACTTACTACATTGAGTTCTCATGACAAGAATTCTACAGGGATCATTTTCTAACACTCCAGGTAGGGAAATGGGACTCAGAGATGAGGTGATCATTAAAGTCAGGCAGTGAGTGAGCAGCTGAAACCAGCTTCATGTCACCTTGGTTCTTATCTAACCTGGGATGGGATGCTCTTTCTTTCTTTCATGCGAATGGTGATGATTGATGTTGGTTGTCAACCTGACACATCTGAGAAGAGGGATCCTCAACTGAAGAATTGCCTCCATCACATTCACTTGTGGCTATGTCTGTGGGGAATTTTCTTAACTGCTCATCAATGCAGGAGGGCTCAGGACACTGCAGGCAGGGTCAACCCTAGGTAGGTGGGATTGGGCTGTACATGAAAAAAACAAGGTAGCTGAGTGAGCCAGAGGCAGGAAGACAGTAAGTAGCATTCCTGTGTGGTTTCTGCTTCAAACACCTGTCCCAGCTTCCCTCAATGATGCACTGTGACATGGAAGTGTAAGGCAAATGAGCCCCTTCCTCCTCAAGTTGCTTTTAGTTAGAGTGTTTTTATCATAGCAACAGAAGTCAACCTAGAATAGATACTCTCTTTAAAACAGCATCATAATGAAGTGTTTGGTTTTGACATGCACTGAAGGATAAGAGGCATGGGCGAGCACATCAACGGATATCTGACACGTAATAAGGGAATTTTACTAAAACAGGAGTGCTGGGATGTAGCTGAAAAGTGTACAAGTGCCTGCTGTAAAATTCGAAAGGCTGGTTTCTGGTCTCCACCCAAGAGTTCTAGATCACTGGCTTAAGGATAGGATTCAAAAACACACACTTCTACAAGGTGTTAGAGGAGTTGATCTTGTCGCTCATACTGTCTTTAGGCAGGAAGTGGTGTGTGCCAGGAGCCCTCACCCTGGCTGTACATCAGACTTCCCTAGGATCTCTTAAATAATACCTAAGCATGTTTTTTTTTTTGTTTGTTTGTTTGTTTTGGTTTTTTTGTTTTGTTTTGTTTTGTTTTTACACAATAGCTATGTGCATCAGCCTGGAGGGTGGGGCCCTGGCACCCGTGTTAAGTGTCTCTGGGGACTGTGATGCATGGCTACAGCTAAAGTGCTAGCTTCCCTTTGGGGTACCTAGAAATCCTGGAACTATTTAGATAGGGCTTGTGTGAGAGCATCCCAGTGTTTCATGTGTTGGGATGCAAATCTCATTACAAGGCATGAAGAATGTAGAGAGTATTTGGCTATGGTGCCTGAGAAGGTGTTCTTGGTGTGTGATCAAAATTAAACAAGGTCCCTAGGATAGAACCCCCATAATAGAATGCAGGTGGCAGTTTAGAAGAGGGAGATGTTAGGGTGACTACCCAGTCAGCAGTCAGTAATGTCCTTGCTTTGTGAGCATGAAGACACAAATTTCATCCACAGAACCCATCACACACACACACACACACACACACACACACACACACACACATATGTATATACACACATATACACAGCATGGTGGGACAGACAGTCTTGTAATACCAGTACTGTGTCGGCAGAGACAGGCAGATCCCTGGGGCTCACTGGCCAGCCAGCCTCACCTACTTGATGAGTTCTAGACCTATGAGAGATGCTGTCTCAAAAACACAAAGTAGATGACAACCCCAGGTTCTTCTCTGGACTCTACCTATACACATGTTCTCCACACACATGTACAAAGGTGCAGTCACACACATGAGAATATGAATGCACAGATATGCACAAAAATAAGGAGGCAGTAAGACTAGACAGCTATGTGCATGTGTGCTGCCTATCTCTTACCCATGATTCCTCATGCTTCTTCAGGACTCTGCCAACAAAGTCAGCACCAGATGTCAACTCTGGATTCTCCGCCTCTAGAGCCATGAGTTAAACAAACCTCTTCTCTTTATAAAGCAGCCAGACTCTGCTATTCCCTTATAGTAATGAAAGAAGACTTACAGTAGTCTCAAAATAATTGAAGAGATGGAGATTAACCCCTTGACTCTGTGCGATTGTAATGTAGGTATGACAGTGCTCAGGGCTGTCCAGGGGTCCAGGGCTTATAGCTTACCTCTGTCCAGTCCAAGCTGCTTTGTTTTCTATGAGTCATAGAAATTATTTGCTAAAATAGATACATGTTTGGCTCAATGGCAGTTTAAAATAATAAGTATATTGATCGCCAGAATAATTTGTTGTTATTGCTTTTAATTTCCAGTAGAAATAGAACTCCAATGGTCTAACCCACCCTTGTTCATACATCCTTCCTCTTTAGTGGATCTGTCTGCTCCCACTCCTATCTTTCATTTTGTTTACATGGATTATTTCCTACAAGGAAGCCGGGGTGACACACCGCCCTGGGAGAGATTCCAGGGGTCAATCATTGCAGGCTGTGACCAAATCCCAACTCCTCAAAGTGCCTCCAAGACAGGCCACCTCTAAGATCTTCCAGGCCCCTCTGGCCATGCTCTCTCTGGCTCACTGTGCTGCACTCCCCTAGGGATGCTCCTCAGGAGTGCTCCGTCCCTCCTCACCTCGGGCCTCTGAACACATAGCTCTCTACCAAGACACCACAGACCTGCCCTTCCCATGCATGTCCTTATCCTTTCAGTCTTCCCTCAGATAGCACAAACCTTAGCTTGTGTCAGCCAGCTTTGTGACAATCTCCTCCCTCCAACCCTTTGGGTTGTACTCTTTGTTTTTTTTTTTTTTTTCTCTCAAGTCACTGTGTTTTTTGTTTTGTGCAGCCATTGTCATAATCTGTAATTTTCACGTTATTTAGTTGCATAAATTTCCATTTCCCCATAAGTCGGTGTCTTTGCTAGTTATGGCTGTATTTACCGGATTGGATTTTGGCATAAAACAGGCATTCCATTTTTACCTGATGGGTAAGTTATTAAAACATTAGCTCCTGGCATTGAGATCACTCATTCAAGTAAACAGCCATGTTCAAACTTCAGGTTCAACAAGAAATAGAAACCGACTTAAATTTGAATCTCTATGTAGACATCCCCTTTGGGCCAAGAAATACTGATATGTGTCCTGAAAATCTACTCGAGGCCCCTATTTTGAATGAGATGCCTGTACTAGGTCCAATAGGGCAGAGAGAGGCAGAACAAAGTAACCTATAACCAGGAACACATATCAGAGTGATTTTAAATGGGTCAGATTTCTGAAAAACAGGACATTCACAGCAACCAATTATGAAGGGCTCAGGCCAGAGGGTCAAGGATGTCCCTCTGCTCTGTTCCTTAAAAGGTAAATTACTTTGAAACAACATATCCATTTCCATCCTTGCTCCTCTCCACCCAGGTAAAACCAGCCCTTTCTGCTTGTTCTGCAGAGGACCCTTTTAGTTCATACACAGGAAGTGGCCTGAGTCCTGAGTCACCACAAAAAAAAAAAAAAAAAAAAAAAAAAAAAAGCTAGTCAGATCATTAAACTCAATTTGCTGATTTTTCTCCCTGTTTTGATACAACGTGCCATCAGTACTGTGGTCCATTTAACAGTGGCTATTTTCTCCAGGGGACTTTATTGCTCAGACTCAAGCAACACTGCCCCTGGATCTACTTAGTGTGGTTGACTTCCTGTGCTCTGGTTTTGTTTCTGGGAAGCTGACCCAACAGTGAGCTTGTACTGACACATTTGAAAAACAGGACCTCAATAAAATAAAACATCAACAACATGGCTGTCAGCCCATCACGTGGACATCAGCTATAAAGACAGAGCAGCCTGTTAACCAACATCTTATGACATCTTATATATCACTTCAAAAACTATTTTCTACTATGTAGATCCCACAATTGTGATATATGGCTTCCACTTTCCCACAATGTCAACTTCCTCTTCCTTCTTCTTTCTTCTTCCTCCCCCTCCTCCTCCCCATTCTCTTCCTCATCCTCTTCTTTTAAAAATGATTGCTGAAGTTTTTATCTTGATAAGATCATTTTGACCTCTTATCATGCAGTAATGGAGGCCAGTTCTAGCTGATCACAACTGTCACAGCCAACTTGCCTTATGCATGCTCATCCCTTCATAGAAACACTCTGTGGCATCTGTCCTTTGTCCAACTTACCTTGCCAACATCTCTGGGGAATGGTTGTCTCTGGTTCTCTGGGATCAAGATGGGGGACACCACAATGGACCTCTTTTGTCTTGGGACAGGAGAGGTCCTTGCAAATTTGAAAATATCCTAAAAGAGAAAACAAGATGAAGTGAGTAAGATCTCCACAGATGAGGAAGTATCAGTATGCCCTGGGTTCTTATGCTTTGTTGGGAAGGGCACAACTGTCTGGACACTGTCAATTTGCTTCTATCACATCTCTTTAGAATGACCAAGTGCATGGTTAGGCTCACACGAAAGTTGATGTCACAATCCACAATGGCGATAGAAGTCAGTTAATTACAACTTCTGTACCATCTACTTAAAGTGCCACATTGGATCAATATACCCTTCAGACCGTTTAGAGTGGTCTTAATCTGCAAAATAGGTAGAAGTCACCTGGTCAGCAACCAAAGAAACTTCCCAGATATAAGCATGGCTCCCTTCACGGGCCCCTAGAGCAGTAGGGATGAATGACAGTGAGGGATAGGGCTGTACACGCTTTCAGGCCTCATGGAGGTACAGGCAACGATTTCTCAAGGGATGCATGCCATGATCAGGAAATCCTTTGGGATGCATTCCCCAAGGAATTGTCCCTACCTCGCTCACTGCATGCACACTGTCAGGAGTTCTATATCTAAAAATTATTGTAATTAATTCTTTGAGAATTCCATACAATGCATTTTGATCCTATTTACCCCAACTCCTCCCCCTCAACTCTTCCCAGATTCTCCTTTAACTCCTTAACCCCCAACTTCACATCTTCTTTTTTTAAATCAATAACCCACTGACTCCCATTTGAAGGGTTATACCTGTTTAATTAAAGAACTGTGTTCAACAAAGGAAATTGTATCATTATTTTCCATCAAGCGCTAATGTCACATTATATAAAAATAGGGAAACATAAAAATAAACATTCTGGACACCCACAACCTTGTTAAACCCAAGCTATTACTTACAGAAAGGTAGGAAAGGGGAAAGGGAAGAGGGGAGGTGGAAGAGGGCTAGTACAATCTTGATCTAATTAGAGGGCTGGGGGAAAAAGAATTGAAAACAGATTATCACTTTTAATATGCAAATAAATCTCATCAAATACCACATGCTAATTAATATTATTTTCTGTGTCATCAGAAGCAAGCACCTCATACTTTATGACATAGTTCCCATTAAAACAATATGCTAAATAATAATTTCATGGCATCACTAGCCCTTGATCCATAGTGTGTATTTTGTGTGTGTGTGTGTCACACACACACACACACAACACACATACACACACAGAGAATATGCTTGTGTTCACCTGCATTTTGTGGTTTTAAGAGAAAACATAGATAGGAAAAGTCAAACAAGAGACAAAACCAGTTAAAGCTTTTGAAAACCTCCACAAACATTCACACTCTTGATTTTTCTTGGAATATAGACTAACAGTCTTGTAGAGAGCTGCTGGGCAATATTTGCTTATCAAGAGCCTTGCAAATATCCGCAGCTCTTCTTTCTGTAATTCCACTCTAGGAATGCACCTAGGTGCTAAGCTCAAAGGAAGGAAGGAAAAAAAAAAGACACAGAACAATGCTTAGTGAGACAGAAGAGCAATATAGCAAGTGTGTATTGGCCTTCATGGAGACACTTAAATGTGTGTCAGCCCTTACAGTTACAAAATCCTCCCAGGAAACCCATAGCTCTTTAGCCAATGAAGAAAGTTTGCAGATTATGTAGAGATTACTGCTGATTAAATTTGCCTAACTAGCAGATAATACATTTCACAAACTATATTTCTAAAGAAAATACTTGTGTCCATCCCAGATTGCATGAACTATGTTACAGAATAATAATACAAAAGAAATCTTAGCTAAGGGGTCTATGTAAAACAGGGCTGGCCTACCAAAATGGTATTTCTAAGCAGAGAAAATGAAGCCACAATGAGGCCACTTCACAAACCAGAATAATTGTTGCAAACCTATCAAATTTTTCTTTGCTGTAAATTAATTTTCCAAGGCCTCAAGAAAGATATGAGCTGTGATTTAATGAGTCATATATTCAGCTTTGTAAAATGTAAAGCATTTCTACAATTGGACTGAGCAGGAGTCTGAATTCATTTTATACCATTGCCCCATGTACTGAAACTGGCAAGACTGCTACGGAAAACTAGGTCCCATGGAAGTGCAGATGGCGCTCTTAACCTCTGAGCCATTTCTCCAGCTCCACTTACAAAACTGGTTCAGTAGGAAAAGCATTTCCATTGCAAGTGCAGGGAGACTTCAATTTGATCTCCACAACACACTTTAAAATGCTGGACCAAGTGGTGTGCACTTGGAATCCCATCACTGGGGGGTGGGGGGTGGAGACAGGAGGATCACTGAGACTGCCTGCATGGTGGATCCTGTCTCAGAGGAGTTGGAGAACATTTGTGAAGATATAACTCATGCTTGTTCTCTCTGCCACATGCACATACTTGTGCACTTACATACACATACAAAACACACACGGTTGGTTTCTAGGGAAACAATAGTCTCCACATGCAGGCAAAGAATGAACACTCCTCTCTCTCTCTCCTCTCTCCTCTCTCCTCTCTCTCTCTCTCCCTCTCTCTCTGTATTTTTCTCTTCCTCCCTCCCTCCCTCCCTCCTTTTATCCCCTTCACTTCTCCCTCCCCCTATGAAATGTGTGTGTTTATGAATAACAGTGGAAAGAGCAAAGAGGATAAAACCAAGCAACAAGAAACTCGGCCAACCAAAAAGACAAGGCGCAATGACTTGAACCCAACTCAAAAGAAAACAAACAAACAAACAAACAAACAGACAAACAAGCCAGAAAGGGAGAGGAAAACCAGGAGATAACAGAAGAGAGAATGGACTCTATTATATAAAACTGATACATAGCATCTCCAAAGATTTTGTTGCTTTACTGAGGGGCAGCAAAAGAATGGAATATACATAAAATATGTGATATGTGCAAATCTCATTTACAGTTAAGAAAACCAACAACTTCAGGAGCCGCCCATGAGTGAATGTGCAGGACAGCGCTGTGTGAAGATTTAAGGCGCCATGCATATGTAAGGGCTTGGTGATTCAGAGCTGTAATACAGCCACAGAGGCCTCCGTTCATTACGACAGCGTGTGTGTAAATGTGTCCAAAGCAATGAAAAAGCACCCTGTGTCCTCAGCAACAAACTTTCCATTGTTTGTGATAAAGAGCTCACTTGTGCCTGCAAGCCTGCCGAGGGCGGTGCCGTTGTTCTGGGTGCCCCTGAGCCCTGTGCCCGCTCCTGGTGTCCCCCTCTTCCCAGTACACCAGCCATTCAAGATGCAGTACCCGTCTGTCTCTCACCTCTCCCAGCTTTCTGGAAGTGGGCTGACGGGCTCAGTAGTGTCAGCCTGGATGTAAAATGCCAGAGCAGAGAAAGAGGAAATTCTGAGCCTTGGGAAACAATCTCTCAAGGTTGGAGTTGTTCGGTACACATGTGTGCTGAATCTGAGGGCAACTTAGAGGCACCTGGAGAGTGCAGCTGGCCAGGGCAGTCATTCCTCTGGCCCTTATTTCATGTTTCTGGGACTGTTGCTCTGCCCCTACCTTAGTCACTTATGTGGATGCCTAAGTATGTGTCTGTCAGCGAAGACCTCTGAGTGCTTGTGGCCAGAAATGTCTATGTCTGTGATGGGATCTGTTGTCCTTGTTTGTCCTGGAAATCATCTTGTGCCAAGAGGACATAGAATTTTCTTTAAATGTGGGGTAAGAAGATTCCTGGGAAGGTGTGAAGCCAAGCAACCACTGGAAGCTACAGCATTCACAATTTTTCAGGGGCTGTTGACATACAGCAGGAGTAAATGAGTAGAAACCTTGGAGGCTCCAAGTACGTGTGCTTCCTAGAAATGATAGCTGGTGACATCATAAACAGTATTTCCAATAAGGAGAGCCATCAGTAAGATAATGCTCAGTCTGAGTTGGGGAAAGAGGAGAGTCCAAATGGAAGAATCATGGCTAAAGTGCATCATATACTCACATGACAATAGCCTCCGGAAACCTAGTTGTGCAGACAATGAAATAGACCACAATTCAAGCAAGAGAAAAGAAATTGAAAATCTCCAGTGACTTTAGACAGGTCAATATCTTGCTGGAATCATTTAAATATTTGTTTAGTGAGCCTTCAGAAGTGACCACTGTGGAAATGACACATCTCACCCCAGTTCAGCCACCTGGACATGTGGGGTATTGCCATGGGTCCATCATCCAAGGATGATAGTTGGTGGAAGCTAGAGAGCCCAGCGAAATCCTTTTCCTGAGAAACCTGGCCTAGTAAAAGCAAATACTTCCTGGTCTCCACATGGGCTTCATTAGTCTTATCCAGGCATTCTTAGATCATTATTTGGGAAATTAATTATTTCTCCACTTAGAGGATATCAATTACAGAAGGAAGTATTTACTTCAATTTCCCGTGTCCCTTTCTTTTCAGTGGAATAAATTAATGTGCCACAGTATTAAAAAAGAAATGAATGCATAAGTAAACACTCCTACATGTGTGGCTGAATAACCAAGCATCCAACGTGGAGCACTGAGGAGGGACATTCCCAGGGTCCTAGGTCATTTGGCATTGGTATGTATGCTTAGAATGGAGAGTAAGTTTCTGTGAACAAAATAATCAATGATACAAAGAAGTTATAGGTTTCTCTGTGGGTGTTTGGGATTTGAGAGGTGACTTTAGACGTTTCTACTCGGAAAGACCTTTTAAAAACATGACCTGCCCCTTATTAACATTGTACAAGCATCTGTGTGACCAGGAATAAAGTCTCCAGCACCACGGAGGCAGGGAAGGCTCAGGAGGTGAGCTTGATGCCCGTTGCTGACTTCTGCAGCTGCTGTTACCCCTGGTCCTGCCCTCTTCTGCATGGCCAACTCTGTCTATCCTTCTACTCTCCACTCTTGTCTCAAATATCAGTTCAAGATTCCTCCTCCACAAAAAGGGACGCATAGAAGGGGCCTGGGTTCGGGCCTGGGGACGACTCAAAGGCACAGAAGCTAAAGGTAAGCCCAGGCCAGCATTGGTGAGGGCGGGAAGCAGAGAGAGCTGGTGTCTGACAAGCTCCGAAGATGTT